TGTAGGGTGTGGTACTCGAATATTTAACACACCTAATAATGGTCGGGGCTCGTCTAATAGCATCTGGTCATTCCTTATATATATATAAAAAGCAATTGACTGTTCTAGACTTGGGCAACAAAACTTAAACAGTGCGAAGTTGTTAATTTTTCAATTCAACTTTTTAAGAGCGATCATTCAAAACTTTTAGATTAAATAGAAATTCTTGTATGTGGTTAGTTTCATTAGGATTATTTTGTTAGAAGCTTTTTGTGAGGGGAAAAAATTGAGTGAAGAGTTACATAAGGCTATTGGGAATGAATACTTGGTTTTAATGAATTTCAAGAAAATAGGTAATTTGAAGATATACTAAAATTTCATGTGCTAGAAACTTGGCTGTAACAAAAGCTAAATATTAAGTTTTTTGTAAGTTATGTATAAAATATTAATTTTTAAGAACCCGGACAATTTTCATGATCGTGCAAACTATTAGGGAAAATTGACTTCTTGAGTCATACACCAAAATTATGTGAGAGAGAAATGGAATATAAACTCAGAAGAATTACAGAATTTTTAGAGAACTAATTTGGCTTCGTGCCAAGATGTACGATGAAAGAAATCCTTTTTGTTAAGATAATTAATGATGAAGTATTGAGGTCAAAAATTGATCTTATATAACGTTTATTGATCTTGATAGGGTCTATAATTGGGTAATATGACACTTGAATTGGTGTGCATCATGGCTAGAAGGTGCGTCTCATATGAATATTGATGTTATTAAAAATATAAATGATGTTGCACATACTAGTATTAGAAATATTTTTGAGGCGACCTAAGAGCTTTCAGTTATACTATGTTTACATTAAAACTCTATATTGAGTCCATGTTTTTTTACCATGGTTATGAATATGTTTACAAATAAATTAAAAATGAGACACAGTTGTGTATGAATTTTATAGACGATATTGTTTTAATTGGTAAGGCATTAATTGAAGTAAGTGAAAGAATAGAATAATGGAAAAAATATTTAGAAAATTCATTACTTAAAAATTAAACAAGCAATGGTTAAGTATATCATTTGTTATTCAGTGAATGCGATATTAACAATCACCAGTCAATTTCTTAAAGGCTATGGTGATAAATAACTATGATAAATTTAATTATCTCAGGTCAATTGTACAAAAGAATGAAGATCTAGATTAGGACATAACTTAGAGAGAGTCAATGGTGAATGGTTAAAATAATGAAATTCCTCAAGGCTATTGTTTGATAAGATTATATATTGGAGGTTTAAAATATATATTATCAAAATTTAATCAAATTGATAATGTTGTATGAATTTAAATGTTGGTAGAAAAGGTCATGGGTATCTAAGTTGAGCATGATAGAATTAGAATGCTAATATGAATATATGGCAAGACTAGGAAGGATAACTTAGTGAATGTTTACATTAGAGGAAGTTTCAGCTGTTGGAGATGAATTAATTCGAAATAGACTTGCGTATGTGTCTTGGACATTTGTAATAAGGAGTTAGAAAATACTTCTATTAAATAACTACATGAAATTAGTGTAAGAGGATTAGGAAAATAGATCAAGTAAACCTAAGTTACTTGGATAGAATTTGTGAAAAATGATGTGCGAAGAATATGTACAACACTTCAAGCAACACTCTACAAGTATGATTTGGAAAATGAGGATTTATGAAGAGACTGCAAAAAGTTGGGGTAACGGCAATGATGATATTGAAGGTGATATGTGCTAAGGTTATTCATGAAAAAGAAAGGAAAATTTACATAAATACCGCACAAGTCTTATGAATTTGTAGATTTAACACTTAAAATTTGATATTTATATTTATAACACTTTGGAGTTATAAAGCTATTCATGAAAAGATGTATTTAAATTTTAAAAGGTTAGTAAGAATGGTATTTTTGATGTGATGTTAAAGATTTGAAAGTTATGCGTATAAATATGAAAGTTTAGGTGCTAGATATGTAAATAGATAGGAATTGTGGGGTATGTATGCAAATGCCCCAAAAACAAAATGTAGCTAAGGTGATTTATGATACAACTATGATAATAGAAATGATATTAGAAATTTTTATTAAGTTGGATTAGATATATTGGAGTTGACCAGATAATAGGGTATTAGTTCTAGATAATGATATCAAATAAAGATAGAAATGTTATTTGGAGGAATTTTAGATGAGAATTTAAACATAAGTAGAATGGAAAGATGGTGGAAATCATAAAATTTACTATAGATTTATGAAAATAAATTAGCGAAGTGGGGTTTGCTGTGGACAATAATGCATACAAATAAAGCTTTGGTTCATATGAGATGTTTTGAACAGTGTTTAAAGAACATATTTGATGATAAAATTATTTTCTTAAGGTGTCTAGTCAATGTCACCCATTTCCATTGGAAAGAATTTATTTTAGCAGTTTTTAACTTTAAAGTTTGTTCCTTTTGTACATCACAGGAAATTTTACTTCAAACATTTATGCCAACGATTGCTTGTTTGAGGATCCCACCATTAAATTCACTGGTGAGAGCACATTTTATTTTTTATGTGGTTTTTTTTTTACATCATATATTTTATTATTCTAATTTGGCAAAATAAGTTATTGAAATTTTCCAATCGTGATATTTTTTATAGCATTTTATAGAAAATATTGTCTATGTTTTACATATTCTTATATATATTGAATTTCTTCCCTGGAATAGAATAAAATTAAATCATTCAGATATGCTTAATTGTTACTGCTTTTGCTTTCCAAACTGGATGCTAAAGACTCAAATCTCAACTAAAAGAAAAAGAATTCAGAATTGGAAGAGGAGGGAAATTATGGGGTGTTACTTTGGTTTATGAACTTATGTAATGAGTCGAGATGATATAGAAATTTTGTTGATAGCTTCACTCTTTAGGAAGATTTGTTCTCTCAATTGAAATTCCTTACCTGTAAATCATGAATTAAAAGAGTAGACCATCGTCTTTTGTCTTTCATACATTCAATAACTTGCATTAATTTTTGGACCCAATGGTCTCACTCATTTTTCAGTCTTTTTTTCTCCTCCAGCGGTCTAATTTGACTCAACTAGATTACAATTGTAGCTAGGCTTTGATGCTGGATTGAAAATTTTCTATTTGGAGGAGGACTTCATCCAAATATGAATACAAAAGCTGTTACTTGTGTTCAAACAGAAGGATGATTGACCAAATATTTTCCTATTTCTGTTGGTTGACATTAGGGATCAGTTTTAAGCCCATATCTTTTTGCTTTAGTTTTGGATGGTCTTATTGGACACTTACAAGAGGGTGTACCTTGGTGTATGCTTCTTGCTGATGATATCCTTCTCGTCATAAAACGAGAGAAAAAGCTCATGAAAACCTTGAATTATGGAGGTTTACCTTGGAGTCTAAAGACCCTCGTTTGAGTAGAACTAAAACTAAGTACATAGAATGTGAATTTTGAATAATGCTTTTCTCACTTGAATACACAGATAAGTAACCTATAAATATGTGAGTACAAAAGAAACAAAAAGAGGAAAGAAATCTTCCTACAATAAAGTAATTCCTATAATTATGGAATAAACATAAATACCAATAATTAAGGAATTACCCTTTTTATATTATGACTTAAATATAACAAGTATTAAATAGAATTAATGTAAATAATAATGAGGAGCGTAATTCCACACTCCCCCTCAAGGTGGGTTGTACAGATTGTACATGCCCAACTTGTTGGTTAGCTCATCAAAACTGGACTTAGGGAGAGAATTGGTGAGAATGTCTGCGGTTTGGTCTCTAGAAGGAGTATAGACCAATTCAATGATTTCATTGTCCACCTTCTCTGAAATGAAGTTCCGATCAATCTCAATGTGTTTCGTTCGGTCATGATGAATAGGATTCTTTGCGATACTGATTGCAGCTTGATTGTCACAGAACATCTTGATAGAATTTTCTCCCATAATTCCAAGCTCCTTGAGAAATCTTTTGATACACATTCCTTCACAGATACCAAGTGTCAGTGCTCTGTATTCTCCTTCTGCACTACTCTGAGATACCATCAATTGCTTCTTGCTTCTCCATGTCACTAGATTGCCGCATACATAAGAGCAATACCCAGAGTTTGATAGTCGGGTGGATATATCTCCTGCCCAGTCAGCATCAGTAAAAACTTCTATCTTTTGACTATCATTCCTTTTGAATAATAATCATTTCC